ACATATAATATAGAGTTTATATAATATATATCTTGATTACCACATACTATACAAGGACCAAAATTTTTTTGGCTTACACCTTTATTCATTTTATTACAGTATTAATGATAAATGATAGTTAGAAATGTTATTTATTTACTATTGTTTTATTTTTTATGTTACGCGCACATCAAGTTAAAATGTAGATCATCACAAATTTGGATGTTATGACAAATTTAGAGCAACTTTGTTATTAATAAAAATCAAATCCAATTCTGCTCAGGAAAAGTTATTTTCCGATCAGGAAAGAACAATGATAACAGAACATTTGTGCAAATTTTGAGGTGGTTTTATATACAGTGAATCCTCTATAAGTGCACCCCCCTTGGGAATATAGTGCTATTTCTTGTGAGCATGCATTTATGGAGGGTGTGCATTTATGAAGGGTGATTTTATAAGCTTTCTATAAGCTTGGGGGTGAGATGGGCCGTGCATTTATGGAGGGTATACATAGTGCGTGCATTTAGGGAGGGTTCACTGTAGTCTGTGCAGTCCACTTTTCTAAGTGGTACTTTTTTGATTTTACAATACTCTTCACATATAAATTGTAGGTCTTTTTTTGAACCGTCTAAATGTGTGTAACGCCGATCTATCCATAAAAGGATTTTTATCTATGCTGTTCAGGTCAATATATGGCGCAGGACACCTAGTCCCTACGACTTTCTGCGCCACAGCAACAGATTTGGGAAAAATTCACAATAAAATTTTTACAGTCATGTGTTTTAAAAATAGATTTGTCACGTTGCATTCTCTTTATTAGTATCACGTGATAAAAGATCTGCACTACAGATTTCAAAATTTTCGATTCTTTCAATTCGTTCATTTTTAATATAAAAAATTTGCGTGTAACACGTCACTTTGGGGGATTAACATAGTAAATTTGCAACTTTAAGGCTTAATTATATGGCATATCAACAAAATGAAAATGACATCTTGTTTTTTTGGTCACACATTTCCATTTTTGGAGGAGTTAAAGGATTTGCAAGACTAATAAAAGTTGTAGGGACTAGGTGTCCTGCACTATAGAAAATTATTATGTGCGGATTTTTTAATGTTACACACATATATCATCAAAACAATCGTTGAAGATTTAGATAAACTTTAAAATGTAAAAGCTCAAAAACTAAAAAAATTGTGGGAATAATCCTTCCGTGATTTTGTTTAAAAACACTCAATTAATGACTGGTCAGAGAGATTTTTTCATTTATATTAGTAAAAAAATTTTTTGTGAAGGTTCAAAGTTATCAAGTTTATTGATTTTACTATTACAATGGAAATTTAGATAAACTTTAAAACCTAAAGGCTCAATAACCAAACAAGTTGTGTAAATAATATTTCGCAATTCTATTTCCAAACACTCAATTAAATAGCCTATCAGAGAGATTTTTTTCATTTATATTAGTAAAAAAAATTTTTTATTGGTTTTTACTATAAAAAATGGGAATTTAAAATGTAAAGGCTTGGTAACCAAGCAAGATATGTGAATAATCTTTCCACAATTGTATTTAAAAACACTCAATTAATAGTCTATCAGTGAGTTTTTTTTACTTATATTATGTAGTAGAGAATTTTTTTATAAAGGTCAAAGTTGTCAATTTTATTGATTTTTACTATTTTGGGGGTGTTACAAAAATTTCAAAATAACATTTAAAAAATCCGCATATATGAAAATTTATTATTGATGTTTATTATTTTTGACGATCAACCATTGTGACCAACCCCAGTAATTTAAGGGTAGAGTATACGTAACACAAATTTTACTATGACACAGTGGATAATTTTTTGGCTGCTGATCATTAATTAAAAGGAAAATATTATATATAGAAAGGTTCTTTTTATGGAATATACAGAACCCTACCAAAGAATAGCAATTCATTCTATAAAAAAGGAAACTAAATTGTAGCTCAAAATTTTTGTAAAACCAACGTGGCATTTATCACAGACGTGATGATTAAATTTGTGGGCTGGGGGGCAGTGTGTAAATTTCGTCGTGTAACTAATGGAGATTTCCACAAATTTAGAAATCATCTGCAGAAAATTACTAATGTGTAACATGATACCCGCCCGTTCCGCCCTCTCAATTTTACTCACTGGCTGGGGGGTGGCAGGAATTACACAGTGTTTACCAACTCTAAGAATTAATCCTTATTTGTCACATAGGTTCTGTATATCTCATAAAAAGAACCTTTCTGTATATAATATTACCCTCATTAAAATATTAATGTAGCCATAATAACATTCATTATATAATAGTAATATCAGGGTAGAAAAATATATTTTATTTGTAATATCACCTATTGAAAGCAGGTGATGAGAGAATGAAAATTATAAGTCCAATAATTAACACTAAACAATAAATGAAAACATTTACAATATATAACATTGTCCTTTTCTTCCACATTCTTTACATCCTTTAGCAAACAAATAAATAAACAGGCTATATTTTGCTGCTCTTTTTCATTTCCTTATTTAAAAATAAATTGTAATGTTGACACTTTAATTCTCAATATTATATTAATTATATTAATTATCTTCACTAAGTAAAATTATAGGAAGCACTTACATGTTTAAAGTAAAAAGAAAAATTGATATAACTTCCATGAAGAATAAGCAGAACAAATAGTATATGTAGAATAGATAGAGATATATTGTTGTCTTGTTATTGACTTCCACTACCATCCCTCAACTTGTCTAGTTGATAGTTATGTTTTCAAAAATTTTATTTTTAAATTAGAATGTTTTTTAATGCTTCAAATTTACACATGAATAAAACTAATACCATTTACCTTGAGAACTCATTGGCAAAGAATTAAAAATAAATAATTTTCCTTTGAAATTTAATAATATATTTGTTATAAAAATTATTGTTTCTATAAAATATATCTTATATTAATACATATAATAAATTATATAATGATTAGCATGCTTTGATAATTTAATTAGAATTTATATATTCACTTACAGTTTTACTATCCTTAATCAGTGTTTGTATATTGTTTAATTAGCATCCACTTATTGTTTCTATACATTCACTTATAATTTTACTATGTTTAATTAGTAATCTGAGAATTTTAATTAGTAATCTGAAAATAGGTTTGACTTTAAAGTTGTAATAACTCTAGCAAGAATAGAATAATTTTTTATGGTTTGTATATTAAATTAAAACTCAGAATCTTGAGAAGCTAAAGATATAAAATTTGTACAATTTTGTTTATTTTTTATTTGTCTTTAATATGTGGCTTACTTTTTTAACCGGATAAAATCAAAATTAGCCATTGTAGTTCATAGTAGATTCATGTTACATATACTCTACCCTTAATATAGTTTTGCCGTGGTTTCAGTAATTACTAAGGAGGTTTCACCCACAACCTTAGTTAAGTTTGCTGATTTTTTTTTCATGTTTAAATTCCACACATGTTATTAAAATATATACATATATATATTTTAAACCTCTTTATTATAAATTTCATTCATAATACTGACATTGGAAAACGTTTGATCAGATTTGATCAGGGCATGGGGTGTGATAATGAAGCTTGAAATTTATGTGCTATAAAAAAAATTTGGATGACCATTGTAAAATCATATAAATAATGTAACAATTTGGAAGTTTAGAAATTCCATCATGCTTAAAAAAGGTATATTTGAAAATGTGAGTTCATTTTTAAAAAGATTAGATAAAGGAATTGATGAATTTATGTCAGAAGAAATCAACAATTTTAATTCAAATGATTCTGATGAAGAAAATAATGAAAATGAGACAGATCTAAATGTAAGTGATCAAGAAAGTTTATCATCAACATTATTGAATGCTATTAATGAAATAAAGAATTGGTAGAGATTATGTTTTAAGTATATAAACTTAATTCAATAGTTAATTTGTTAAGAAATATTTTATTACCAATTGTTAATGTCTTATTGTAAAATAATTATCTATAAGATAAGTGTTGGAAATAGCAAGATCACATAAGATCACATTTGCTAAAAAAATAAGATAACCATTAAAGAATATTTTTATAAAAAAAAATTTTTTTTTAACACAAATTAAAATTTTTTCACATGACCAACTAATTTTTACTATGATGATTATTGCAGTATTGTAAAATTAATATAAATAATCGTGTAACGAGTCAATAAATGATCGTCAAATAGAACTTCCGTTATGCTCATTATATATATAGAAAAATGTAATAGCGCACAAATTTTTCATTGAATTTGTGCATATATTTAAAATTTTTTGTGGAGAGCATTGTCTAGTTGGTGTCCAGAATTTTGCAGCGACAACGCAATTTGATTGGATGATAACTGAACAACAGTGTTTGATGACTTAACATGTGGACCAAAAAGGATTGGAAATTACAAGGATCTTACTAATAAAGAGAATTTAATTGCATTTATTGGGTAAATTGCAAATTGGAAAAGTTCATAGTAATAGCAAAATCCTGGACACTCTATTAATAATACAATTCCAATATTCTTTAATTATTTAATCCTAAAATACAATTGCTTTATAATCAATAATTTTAATAGTGTCTTTCACTAATAATTTTCTGGCAACAATTTTTATCATACCTGCTCATATTTTTCCAGCAGAAACTCTCTGTTATCTGCCCGAGTCAAAATTATTAATATCCTTAACCTCATACCTTTGGGCTTTTCTTAATATTGTCAACTTAGTACCTTCTGGCCTTATCTAGGTTTCTTCCTAAGATCTGTTTCTAAAATAAATACATACAACTATACTTAGCAAAGGCATAGATAATAATTAATTAAATATCTAGTTGGATGGGTCTAGTAAAGAATTTAGTCAGATATATTTTTATTAGTTATATGATAAGAGAATAATTATGAAGATAGTACATCTAGTTCTCTGATTTTCAAGAACTCTTAATTTGTTCTAATTAAATGTATTCCTTAAAAATAAACAAGACCTTTCTTTTAAGAATAATTCCAAGTTTTTTTTAAAGCGAATGAATGATTTTGAATTCCGAGTTAAATAAGAATGTTAAATTTAGAATATTAGATAATTTTTCCGTGAGTTAATTATTTTATTAATTCCTTTTAAGTCACATAAACCATGAGGTTTATCACAAAGGCGAATTGAATCTTTAATTTTGATCATTAATTCACGTACTCTATCAACTGAATTACTAACCAATTCTAACTCTTGCTTTATGCCTAAGTTCAGAGCATGTACTGCACAATATAATGTGAAAAATTCTTTGAAGAAAGTCCAGTATCAAGTGCTTCTTTTCCACACACCAATATTGCAGATATAGCTCCGAATGGCTCAGTTCAAGCCGAAAAATTTCGATTCATTCGGTTTGGTTTCTGTTTACTTTTTTACTTTGAACCGAACCAAAATTCTCAGTTTGAACTGAATCGTTCGGAGCTTAGGCTAGAAACTACTTGGCACTCTGCTTATTTGGAATTAAATCTATTAATTTTTAATCTAATAGCAAAATAACAACCAATGTCCTGGTTGAACGAGTTTTTTTTGGAGGCACATACTTAATTACTCAAAGGCGTTGTATTTTAGAACCTGAAACAATAAGAGTATAAAAGCTGGGGGAGATGATGAATTTTATATATGAATTGAAAAAAATAGAACGTCATTGGGGCTTCTATTCTAATAAGGCTTATTTGAATTATTTGTTTATTCATTATTATTATTATAAATTTGATTATTCAAATTACATTGAAAGTTGAGTCGAATAGAACGAATATAACGAAAATTCCAACAGAGAACAAAGAAAGGATAATAAAAGGAGTAGTAAGAGAAATAACCCATGAGCCAATAAAAAAACAGATTAGAAACAATCCTTCCAGCATCTCTACTTCGCAACACACATTCGCTAAAACCAAGCTACAAGTTATTATAATTTTTTGTGAAATTATTATGTATATTTTGCGTAGTTAACGAATTTAGAATGTTGAAATTTTTGGGTCAAATGTAAACCGAAAAACCGATCTTTATATATAACATATAAAAAAAAAGGATTCATATATTGATTGAAATCTGCGAATAAGTAATGATTATATCAAATTTAAAACCTGTTATCTATTTTAATCCAAAATAATAATCTGAATACATTTCTTTTAACTTTTGACAAGCTGGATTATACCCACACAATTATTTAACCTGTTTACTTAATTTTCATTATGACTATTATTCATCCATGAAAAACACAGAATTCGTACGATGGTAAATTAGAATCAAAATTCACTTCTAGTTCTTGAATATTAATCTTGACTGATTTTATCCCATCAATAATTAAGATAGTATCCATAAATTATGTAATTAAAACTTCTTTTTTATCAATTCTTATAATCATTTTCATCACCATCATCTGATTTTTTTATCAAATTTTTGTTAAATCCATTCTATTTGTTCATAGATTATTCACATTAACAATTGTATTGTAAATATATTATTTCAAAAATAAGTATTATATTCAAGATATACTGATTCATTTAAGATTTTCTAAATCATTTATCACCCTGTTGATATGTTTTAATGATAGAGCATCTTTTTTTGGAATTTATAGATTGTTGAACAAAAGTTTTAGATTTTCTAAGGATTAAAAACTATTATTAGACATTTTGTATTGGCAATCTTAACTTGCAACGAACAAGTTTTCATGATATATATATATATACATATGAATGCACATATGCATCTTTACATATCAAACAACAAGAAATTATCAATTGATCTAAATGAATGAAATTTTTTTTTATCTTTATTTTGATACCAAGTAAGAATTTAATCCTTGTTTATTTCTTGCAATTTCAATTGCATAAAACTAGAAATAATGAGAATTTGAGAATGAGTGGTAAGTGAAAGAAGGAAGTATGAGAAATAAGACATGTTATTATTTTTTTTTATTAATTGAAAGAAATATTTACCTGCATTCGTGTAACTAATAATAGTAATAAAATTATATTATGAATGATGATAATATTTAATATCATAAATTTGATTAAAAATTTATATATATATATAATTACCAAATATAGTATTGTCTTCATCATAACCTCTTTTAGCACTTTTCCTTAGTAAAGTTCCAAAATTATAATCTTTTACCTTTGTATCGTATTTCATTATCCATTCCCTCCACTTTTTTTTTCCTTCATCTGATTTCATTAAATCTTCATCAATCGTTTCAATATCAATATCGGTAAATGAATTCATAAAATCTTCATATATTTCGTCGTCAAGCCTAAAAATAAAGAATTAAATAGTTGTTGATTATTAATTGATTTTTTTGAAAACGAAAAGGATGGAATTTTGAACGAACGGAGAAACCTTGTCAAGCGAAGAGTTTTCCCATCGACAGAAGATACTAATTTAAAATATGTTTCAGCATGTTCCATTGCTTTAACTGCCCATTGCTTCTCTAAATAACAAGAACAAGAACAAATAATGTATAATCACCGGGAAGTATATTTCCAAGCTTTATAAAAGAGAAAGTATTGAAATTAATTTCCAACCTATTTCAGGGAGTTGTTCAAGTTCATCAGCACTTGGAAGAGACATTAATAACAATTTTTATTAATATAATATATATAATATAATAATAATAATTTTAATGTTCGAAGGAAAGAAGGAAAAAGACAAAGATGATCAACATCAAGTAACTGACTATTACTATATATTAATATTACCAAAAATTATATTAATATTAATATATAAAATTTCCATAATCTCAGCCAGCCACATATTTATATTAGTATTGTATCACCAAGAAAAACAAATTAATAATTTTCTCAGCAATTTATATTTTTTTTTTTTAAATCAAAAAAAGAAGAAAAATTTCCTGTTTAGTTTTTTATTTTAAATAATGACTGAAAGTGAGGCATCGACTCCAATTACACCAACTACAATAAATGCTACAACTACGCCAACTACGCCAACCACGCCAATTGCAAGCATGCCAAGAAGTGATCTGGTAACTAATGGTAAATTTTTAATTATTAATATAACAATTTGCTTATTTACGTTAACTTCTTTTTTTCGCTTCTCATTTTTTTTTCCCCTAATACTTCAAATTTCAAATTAACAATTATTCCAATTCATTCAATTATTCATTGTTAATTTCATTAAATATTAATATATCGAGTGATTTATTAGGTAAATTCAATGACGATTGGAATTCAATACAAAATCAAAATGAATTTCGATCATCATTATCAGCAACAACAACTAATCATAACAACAATAATCTAAAAAGCATTAACAGTAACCATAATCATGTTGATGATGAAAATGATGATAAAAATGATGATAATGGTGATGGCGATGGTGTCAAAGATAATGATAATTATGGAGATGAATGTATTTGTCAAAAAATAACACCAATTAAAGAGACGGCCAATTGTTCTCGTTGTGCTAGGATTATACCTTTTCTAGCAAATCTACATAAAGAATGCTCGGAACAGCGTGAAAAATTGGAAGTTGCAGATAAACAAATCATAGAAGGAACCGCGAAAGCTGAAGAACAAACTAGTTATATTAACAAATTAAATAAAACAATTGAAGAATTAGAAGATCAAATTGATCTAAAAACTGACCGACACAATGATCTGGAAAGGAAAATGGAAGCTTTAAAACAAGATATGGAAATTTTAAATGAGAAATATGTTGACGAGATTGATAAAGTGGCAGAATTACAACATTCAAAAGACATTGTTGAGGGGGAAGTTGAAGAATTGACCAAGGCTTTGTTTGAGAAAGCTAATGATATGGTAGCTGTTATAGGTAAAGACAAGCATAAATTAGAGGTGCAACATAAATTATTAGAAAAACAATTAGCAGAAACTCAAGAACGTTTAGCTGCAGAAAGTTCACAATTAAATGAATTAAGGGAAAAACTAGAACAAACAATGCAACACCAACAACAATCACAACCTGAAAGTAAACGTTCAAGTTCAAGTGACCCATCGTTCAGAGCAAGTATTGATTTTGCTGAATTGTTTGGATTACGTGAACGAGCACCAGAAGCTGCAGCAACCTTACCTAATCCTACAGGTGAAGATGGAATAGGTATCGATAATGAATTATTATTGGAATTCAAAGAGTTTGTCAGTCAGAGTAATTCAATAAGATTACAGAAAATACACACTATATTATTTATGAGACATTGTTTGGAAGATGATGTTGATCCTTGTATGAGATTTGGTAGTAATTCCAGGGTTTCGTCGCGTAGAATAGTCGATGCAATAGTTTCAAACACTTGTTTTATTGAGGAGGCACCACAAGGTTCGGAGAAAGAACAATATCTAATCACTAATCCTTCTCCCATACGTAATTCAGCATCAAAACAGTTGTTATGGGAAAGACTCTCTGGTAATAATTCCAAGACTACAGGATGTCAGTGTTGTGGTAGATCAGGTCCTTTACAGTTTCAATTTAGAATAACAAATTCTGATGACTGGTCATTGATTGATCGATATTGTCGTGATAGATTAGTGGCAGTTTGTGAATTTTATGTGTTTATACGTAATATTAGACAAGGGTTATATATTAATAGAACAATAGAGGATCTTTATTCTGAATGTTTAAGGCTAAGACTTCAAATGTTTTATGCAAGACTAGGAGCTTTACCATCTATGCTCAACACTCTTGGAATTAAAAGTAATGAATTGGCTTCTGCTAAAAGACCAAATTATTCAGAATCTGTAATCCCAAACACAACTACCACAGCTACCAAAATGCCAATGACTAGTAGTTCACTAACAACAGAAATGTCGGAGTCATCTAGTATGAATACATTAACTACACCAGCACCAGCAACAACAATATCGTTGTCATCATCATCTACATCTAAAATAATAAATAATAATGAAAATGATGAAAATGATGAAGGAAATCATTATGACGATGATAACGACAATAATGACGAAGGAAATCATTATGACAATGATAATGACAATAATGATGAAGGAAATCATTATGACAATGATAATAACAATGACTATAATGACGATAATGGTGACAATGATGATGAGGGTAATAGTAAATTATTATCTTATCAGCAAAATAATTTAACTCAATCATATAGACAAGCGAGAAAAATATCATCGTCGTCATCCTTAATATCTGATAATAACAATCAATCTTCTCCGCTTTCACTTTCTAATTGAAAACCGAATTTCAAATGAGTAATAAAGAGGGAGAAGTAAAGTTTGAATTGACATTTACATTTTCTGATCCTTAACCAATGGTTTAATCTTAAAATAATGATGAATTTTTATTTATTTATTAACTAGATATTTATTATTTTTTTGGTTGAAATTATTTGTATAATAAATATTTTTTATTTTTTATTTTTATATATTATTTATTATATATATATATATATATATATATATATATACAGTACATATACAATATATAAAATAGCATTTATTAAAAAAAACGAGATGAAAAATATTTAAATATTGTTTAAATATTGCAAATATACATTATGTAGGCGTGGTACATATAGTTTATTTATGTACTGATGAATTCAAAATTGATTTCAGATAAATCCCAACTTCAATATATATATATATATATAAATATTTAATGTCAAATCAATTATCTTGATAATAATTAATTAATTAATATAACGTTATAACAAAAATTAAAAAACGAAAATTATTAGAATACCAAAATATTAAAGAAAAGATTTCACCAAGTAATATATAAATAATAATAATTCTTCTCTATATATTACTTTATATAGCTTTGATATTGTTATCAATGTTTTTTGTAATTACTAATTGTCATTATTTTCAATTATTGGCAGTTAATATAATGATTATTATTAAGCTTGACTTTCACTCTTAATCTCTGGAATTTTAATTCCTGCAGATTTAGCTCTAGTAATTAAACGTTCAGCCCATTTAACAACCGGAAGATCAATCCTATTAAAAAACAAATATATATAAAAAAACCATTTAAATAGAATCTTTATAATATAATAAAGATATTTTATGTTCGCTTAATTACACTTTTCCATCTAAATCAAATGCTCCAATTCCTTTTTTGGAATAAATCCCATATTTATGAATAATTCTGGCGGCTCTTTCAACATCTAAAAAAAATACCATTAGTTGAGAGACGTAATCAATATTTTATTTTATTTATTTTATAAATTAATTAATTCGTTTACTTGCCTTTTTCATCCGGTAAAAATGTTTTTTGTATAATGTCAATTTGATTTGGATGGATTGCTTGCTAAAAAAGCAAAATCAAAAATTAATAATAATAATAATTATCATTTTTGTTTTAAAGAAAAAATCAAATAATAATAACAATCAACTAGTTCATTCAGCTAATCAATAACTTCTTCAAAAAGAAATAAGTTTCTTACTTTTCCAACAAATCCCATTTCACGACCCTCTCTACATTCTTTCATTAAAATTTCATTATTTCTAAAATCGAGACAAACCTATTGAAAGTAATTAAAATTAATTGAATGTCGTAAAGAAAAAAAAATCATTTATTTAATTTACCATATCTATGGCCTGTAAACCATATGCACTTGCAGCTACTACTATTGCTTGACGTGCTAACAATAACTCTTTACAAGATGGTGTCCTAATCATTCCTATCAAATGATTTAAAAAGGAAAGCATTGATTAGTTAAATGGAAAGAATTGATTATTGATGATTATAAAATAAAAGAAGGAATAATAAATTGATTAAACAACTAATTTACCTAGATCAGCACAATAATCTTCAGCTGCAAACTAATTTTTTTAAAATATTTAAAATTAAAATAAATTTTAACATCATTCATTATAATGAAATAAAATAACATACAATTAAACCATCCAATCTTAAATCTGATGTAACAATTTCTTTAATATTCATAATTCCCATTGCACTCTCTATCGATGCAAGTAAACGAATATTAGATCGGCTAAAAATATATAGAGATAGATGTAGATATTTTTTTTTATATTAGACATACTAATTTCCAATACACCCAAAAATATTATAGCAAAAATTCACCCACATAATCTTACGTGTTATCAGGAGCTATTGAATCTATCATCCTACTAACAAATTGGACATCTTTTGCTGATCTAACCTTTGGTATGACAATTCCTTCAAGACGTTTTGAGCGAAGCTAGCCAATTAAATAATTAATTAATCAATTGAGAATTGGATTTTTAATATGTGATGGATTATGTGATGGTAAAATATATGATGAAAATTTACCACGACATTAAGATCTTCTAATTCAAGCCCTTTAATGAGAATCATTATTAATAATAGGATTAAATTTTTTTAAAAAAATAAAATTTACTATATTACTTTCTCTCTTAAAATTTTTTACCTGATCCAACAGCATTTATTCTAACAGCCTTTTCTGAACTTCCTTTTTCCGAAGCCTTTTAATTATTTTTAGTTTTTCAAAATTAAAAAAATAAAAATAACTTAATCGACGAGATAGATCTTCATCTTCTAATTCTCTATTTAATAATTTACCTCTAGAGTATTGAAAACCATTTCCCTTGCATCACCTTTTCTATTGAATGCTACACCATCCTCAAGATCATATACAATACTATCAGCATTCAACTTTAAACTTGATTTGATCTTGCGTTCTTCACCTCCAGGAACTTTTCATTGAATTGTATAGTAGTAGTGGTGGTTAGTAGTGGTGGTGGTAGTGGTAGTAGTAGTAATAAATTACTATTATTATCATTATTATTATTGTCATTTATTATTATTTTATTATTGGTTAATGATTGACGTTTGATTAATTCTTACCGTAAAATAAAGCTCTCCTTGAGCGTGGTGGTGTTTGTGACGTGTTATTTGGTTCATTTTTTGAGGAATCACTGGCATAATATCTTGTTAATCTTGAAATATTACGTATAGATAAACAGCTTTTTGCTTTATTATGTGATAAGAAGGAGTGTATTGTTGATGTGGTTGATGCTTAACAAGAAAGAAATAATTTATAAAAGAAAGGGGAAATAAATAATTGATTATGATGATTAGTTGATTCATTGGTATTTAATGAAGCGAAATGGCAATTTTTTCCTTACAATGCAAAGATCGCGTTCCAAATGCAAACATTTTATATTTTTAGAAAAAGATTTTTAATTTTTTTTTTGATTAGTTGATTAATCTGATGATGAGATTTGGGATTGATTAATTTGCAAATGATGAATAGAGATTAAGTAAATCGAGATCAAGATTATATTTAGTATTATAATGACGAATGTAATTTTATTTTCAGACATCTGATTACAAAAGCTTTCGTAAAATAGATTTATTTATATAATAATAATAAAAAAGTCGTCACGAATGAATGAACTATAAATGTTGTTGACATTTTTAATATGATAATAATATAACTTCAATTAAATCCAATTCAGAATGTCTAAAAAATCAAAAAGTCAAAAGTTAGTTTTCAAATTATGATAGATACATATCAACATACAAATAAATATATTTATAAACCTGGCGACATGGGTTTCCACTTGTACATTTTGAACATAATTTGTGCTCATGACGTTTTTGTGTTTTTGGACCGGTTTTTTTTTCTAATGCTTTATAGTATACAATTTTTGCATCATGTCTATTTGGATTTATTCTATTACATGCTTTACAAGCTTGATATGATCGCACTTTTTTATTCTTGAGTTGACTTGGGGCCGCGCCACTCGAATACAAAGCCAGCGAAATCCAGGTATATCCGCTTGTCCAATTTCGATTACATTTCGTGCACTCCCACTTTGCAAAAACTCTATAAAACCATTTCTTGGCTTGTGTATTGTACCATTTATTCCTCTCATCAACATAAAGAGGATCTGGAAAAATCATTATAATCATAATTATAATCACAATTATAGATATCATAATAATGACAATCATAATAATAACCTGACATTTTATTTTCTTTATAAGAAAGTAGCTCGAGTTTTCTTTTCGTCAAAGTAATTTTTTTTAAAAAAAATAAATAAAAAATAGATTTATTTTATTATACAAAACAATTTGAATTCGCTTTAATTAATTAATCTTTTCAAATTAGCATATGTAAGATATAACATCATATACAAGTTAAAAATGTTTTTAATAAAACACAAACACAGTAGCAATTGAGACTTTAAAAGATCAAAAATGACAAAAAACAAAGTACCATTAAATGTTTTTTTTGGTTAATTAATAATTAATCGGTGATCATTTTCGCAAAACATACTAATACTAATACGTGACGACTAATGTTTATTTGTTAAATATGTTAAGATTACTATAAATATCTTGTTTACGAGTCGTTAGTTAGAGTATGCGTTTCAAAGAATTTAAATATAATAATAGTGAAAATTTTTTTTTGGTACTGTTGTATGTGAAATTGAAATATTATGGAGTGGGGTGAAATTATGATTGGCTAATTTGAATTTCACACATGTAAATTTGAATTTCACATATGTGAATTGCGAATTCACATAATTTCATTTTCACGTACAACAGTACCATAATAATAATAATAATAATAGAACAATTGAAAGTTAACGAATGCGCACTTGCATCAGGAAAATAAATCTCATGTAAACCTACGTAGGGTTTAAAACTGACCAGCATTATACGGAAATGTTAACAGAATTACCAAAATATCGACATAATGCTGGCCAATTCTGAACCCTACGTAGGTTTATGTAAGATTTATTTTCCTGATGTGCATTATTAGGAAAAGACTTTGAGCAATATTAATTTGCTCGAATAATAATTATTAATACCAATAAAACCAGAAATCATTCATTATCAAGAAATTATGAATGTCACCTACTTGCTTAAAGGGATTGTACAGAGTCTCGAGCATACATACAGACATTAATATCATGCATGCAATGATTGAGTTTTCATCTATTAGTGTGATATTTAATAAAGATTGTATAGATTACCTATGCAAAGCTATGTTACTATCCTAGGGTTAAGAGGCTAGGAAGGAACTGATAGCTTTTTCAAAGATTTGATTGTTCAGTGGTCAGTTAATATTATATTTAAAGCACAAACCAATAATTATAAAATTTAAGTCTCCAGGCTATTGGGCAAAGAACACATTTATAGCTAGAAGGTGGAGAGATTGAAGAAATTAAAAAGGAAAACTTTAAAAAGTATTTTTACCAAAGATTAAACAAAAATACATATACATATTATTATTACGGAAATCAATAAAAATAAATAGTCTTATCGTAATTGGATAATTATTTAGATTGATATGTATTAGAATATATATTTCTATGTATATATTTATTTTTATTTTTTTATTGCAATGATTATAATGTTGACGATTCAAATAGATGTATTTATTGTTTAGAAATAATAATTAATTAATTGGTAGTTTTGGAAAGCAAAATTATAGATTATTCATTTATTTACCTCTTGCTCTAGACATTCCTAGTGTTTCACCCAAATTAATATAGATATCCTTTTTACTAATGGCTTCCCACTTATTACGCAAGTAATCTAAAGCAAACAATTAATTAATAATTGATTTTCATTTATGTTATGTAAACATTTATTCAATCATATTTCATTATCACTGTTTGAAGTTTTCCAAGCTTTTTGGTTTTTGATGATGGCTTATAATAGCATTATTATCAACAATATTTATACATGTCAGGTGGGACAATCACCCTCGAAGTCTTGTCACTAAACCTTTCATAATACAGTCTGGGTTTTTGCTAAATTAGGACAGTGTAATGGTGGCCGATTTTACACACTAAAAGCCAATTAAATTCAATTAAAAATGGAATGATATATTATGTTAATCATTGTCAAGATTAATCATAGTAAAGGCTTTCTGCTGAGTAGTGTTATATTTAGGGATGATTGATTTACGTTGAATTACAAAAAAATTTTTAATATTTTTAATAAATTAATGGTATTTCATTGAGTACAAATTTAGAACCTGATGTTTTGGATGTATATTATCATTCATCTGCTCAAGAAAAATTCTGTTTTTTGCACAAGTTCATTTTGCATCTTGTTAAGTCACGGAATACATCAGAATGGCAAATTTGTATTTTTTTTTGTAAAGTATTTCAACAACAAGGTCCTTTAATTAATCACTTAATTAAAATTCTTTCAAATTAGATTTTATAACAGAAATAATTTTTCCTTAAAATTTATCATGCTTTGGAGATGAGTTCTTGAAGTGTTTGTTAATTCATCATTATAATAGAACCTAATGTGTATTATGATGTAAGAGTTACATATAAAAAATCCAAGGCTTGTCATAATCTATTCTGAAAATTCACTACTGTCCATGATTGATAAAGAAAATTCCTATTAGAAGCCGCCTTGAGACAAGGATGAATGAAGTCATTCAAATGTGGTTGTTCTAAAGAATTGATATTTTGTAGTGGGTTCATGTGACCTAAGGAGAAGGCTTGTAAGCTGAAAATAATATTTATGTCAAATCTATGTCAATAAAAGACAATATATTAATTGCTAAAATAAATGTGAGAACATACAAATTGTCAAATAGTGTGAATCATCATTTTTGTGGTTTTTTCTTTAAATTCATCAGAACTCAATTTTAATAACATTGGAAAAGTATTTTTTAGTATTAATGATGTATTACAAATGTTTCATTCAAAAAGAAACATTTGTTTATTGATTGTGTGATACTTACCTGTCCAAAAAAATCCACAAGAAGTATATGAGTCTCATCAGGTATTAATTTATCAAATATGTCCAATGAAGCAGGGTTGGCAAATGTGTGGTCCTTTGGTGATCCATTGAATCCATTAGTGTAACATTTTGACCACATTAGAGATGTTAATTGATTAATTTTTGTAATTGATAATCAAAATCAAAATAATCGATTTTTACATTGAAAATAGCAGTAGTAGCTTTATTTGTTTTATGCTTATTCTTTGACAGGTAAAAAATTATCAACAAATTTTTTGTTCTGTTTCAAAAAAAGAATATGGTCAACAGACTGTGAGGTAAGTCTATTTCATAAAGTAATTTGTTGTCCTGCATCAGAGAAAAGTCTTTCTGAAGGAACTGATGAAGAAGGAATTGCCAAATATTTTTTGGCTAAAATAGCAAGTATTGGGAATTTTTTTTCATTATCACCATTTTAATGGTTCATTTTCTTCACCAGGAAGCACTTGGGGTATGTTTTTATATGATTCTTCAAATTCATCTCTATCCAATTCAGCTATTTCTCTAGTTGATACTGAAAAAAAGGAGGCCATTGCAGAATTTTTATTAATTGCTTGGACAGGCTGTGTAAAATTGGGTGATGCAGTAGAATATTTTATTTCTTCATATATTATTTTAAGTTCTGTTAGAGCATGTATTCATATTTCCTTTAAATAATATTTAATAATAAATTAAAAGTAAATACAGCAATGAATTTTTAAATTTATAAATTTAAAGAAAACTCACTCTTTGATAACTATTCAAATTTTTGAATCTTAAATCAAAAAATGATGCAAAAACAAGAGCATTGTTAGGTGAAGACCACCTCATTTCTGAATCCTATAATATAATTTTTCCAACTTCCTCTGCCTGAATCATATTTAAAATTTCATGTGACTTTTTGATTAATTCATATATTGTAGGATACACCAAACTTGCAGTGCAATAATTAGATGTACACACTCATCAGGAAAATAAATCTCATGTAAACCTACGTAGGGTTTAAAACTGACCAGCATTATGCGGAAATGTTAACAGAGTTACCAAAATATTGACATAATGCTGGCCAATTCTGAACCCTACATAGGTTTATGTAAGATTTATTTTCCTGATGCTACTTTTGTTGCTACTTCATAAGGAGATAAGATTTTAACTATACATGCAGCCCAAATTGGTTTGGTGATTTTGATGGTCAAAACTATTCCAATTTTGATGGTAGAAAGTAGAAATTAATTACAGCACTCACTATTAAAAGCATAAGTGTAACACCCCTTTATGACAGTATCAAAATACTTTGGGCTGCATGTATAATTTTAACCAATTGTGAGATTAATTCCCACTCATATGCATCCAGATATAATTCTGATAAATGTGCACCTTCTTGCCTTACATTAGCATAATTTGATTCATTTGATAATGTTGTCATGAGTGTTTTAATTGCATTTTTTAAATAAATTAAATGTTCAAAGCAATACAAATTGCTATTCCACCTTGTATTATTTGCTTGGATAACATCAAGAATTGAACCCATGTGGTTCTTCAGGATCTAAAAAAATTTCCATCTGATGTTTCGATTTCTAACATTGAATTACTAGAAGCCGGTTGCGTTTACTTCGTCAAAGATTATTTCGTTGACAATCATTTTGTCGACACCCATTTTGTCAAAAGCTTGTTTCATTGAAAGTTAATTTCATCGAATGTTCATTTCGTCAAATGTTCATTTCGTTGAATGTTCGTTTCGTCAAATGTTCATTTCGTCAAATGTTCATTTTGTTGAAAATTATTTCATCCTCGAGCCAGGGACCAAATGAGTTAGATGTAAGGAGTGTGGGAAGTTAGTTAAGAAATTAAGTGAAGAAAGTGGGGTGTGTGGGAAGTGTGAGGAGAAATTTGTTTAATGAAGTTTTTTTTTTGTGATGAAATAATTTTCGATGAAATGAACATTCAATGAAACAAACTTTTGATGAAATGAACATTCGATGAAACAAACTTTCAACGAAATGGGTGTCGATGAAATGACTGTCGACAAAATGAATCAGATCCTTTTTAATGAATTTGATTGAAAGCATGCCTAGAAGAATTCAGGCTTGTATAAAGAGCAAAGGATACCCAACTAAATAT